GACCAGTAATATTATTAGTCAATTTACTCTTAAAATTAACAGTGAACCCATTTTTGGCACTCAAGTCAATCTTTAGACCAAACCTTCTGGGGAGTCTCCAGTTACCTTACAGTGAACCCATTTTTAGCACTCAAGTCAATCTTTAGACCAAACCTTCTGGGGAGTCTCCAGTTACCTTAAGGGAAGTCAGCACAAAATGCCTTAAAAATAAAAACAAAGAATGTTGACTCACTGTACTCTAAAAGAGCTACTTGGAGCTAGAAATGGCTTAGTGGTTAAGAACACTTGCTGTTCTTGCTGAAGACCTGCATTCAGTTCCCAACAGCCACATAGGAACTCACAACCATCCATGGACACACACGGTGCACATATATGCACTCAGGCAAAAACAAAAACAAAAGATAAGCAAACCATTTTAAAAGGAGCTACTCAACCCATAACGAAATAATCAAAGAAGTGGAGTTGAATTCTAAGGTAGTCCATCCCAAGTGTTCACCTAAACTATTCAGTCAGGAACAGGAACACCCCCACACTAACACTTAAAAACACTGAATTTATAAGGCAGTAGCATAACCCCTAACAAGAATCTTTTTAAATCCCTGTGACACCAAAGAATTGGAAATTACAACTATAATGTTATTTCTAAAAATAAAATGTGAATATCAACTTCTCATGAAAAGTCAAATACCTTCCTACAAAAATGTGAGAGGACTCAGTGGAAAAATGCACTTGTCACCATGCCTCACACCTATGTTCAAAACCTGGAACCTACATGGTATAAGGAGAGAACTGACTCTTCCAAGTTGTCCTCCAACTGCCACACACGAAGTAAATGTAAAACATATGATGCAAAACATATGAAATAACAGACTTATCATTCACTTGTGTACTGCAATCAAGAAATGCCTACTACTTGATGATCCTATCTTCAACATAAAAACTTTCAGCACATTGGGTCTGTGCTTCAGAAGATGAGACCTTCATAAGCAGCTTTTAACTGAAACAGATTGCAAACAGCAGCTGGGGGAAACAAAGGACATTGCAATGCTGCAATGTGGGAAGCAAAGGGGGTGGAGTTAGCAGCAGCATCCAAGGACTTGAACACTGAAAGGGTGCAATCAATACTTCTTGGTTTTAAATCAAACAACAGATTAAAATCCCAAATCATTCTTGTAACTGCCTCACCCTATGCTCTATGTCCAACCCCATTTCTCATTTGTCCCAGGAGCTTTGGTGCAAATTCTACCCAAAGTCAGTTCAGTTTAGACTAGAAAAACAGATTTACAGATGAGATTAACACAGCTGTTCCAAAGCAGAAAAATAATTTGTTACTTGATCCTGACTCTTTTATTGCCTACACCATTAGTTACTGGAGATCAGAGTCTAAAAAACATCAGTTATTGGAGTTATGAATTCCCACCCAACTTCAACAAGAATTACAAACTCACTAATTTGCCCTTTAAATGGATATAATTTTAAGTCAGTTATCTAAGGGACCTCATACCAGTGAATGAAGCTTACACACACAACACTTAGCACTAGAATATACAGTAGCAAAGATAGAACTTCCATATAGATGCCCCAGACTTACCCACTGCTCTCTGCTTTCCCAACTCACTAATATTGAACTCAGACCTGACTGACTGGCTGATAGAGGATGTTAAGGAGGCTAAAGTCAAGCAACAGTTCCTATCTTTACTAAAACCATCCCAGCATGGGTAAAGAAGTGGCCTTGCTTGTATTAGAGCCTGTGTTCTCACATAAAAAGCTAAATGCCAAAGGCTTTGCATATACTCACCCCTCTTTTAAAGCATTAAGAGCAAGATACAGAAATAAATATTCCTGTAGATCCTTCCAACCTCAACTAGCATGACTAGATACTAAGCCTTGCCCAGAATTAAAGACCCAGTCCCTCATTCCTGGGTAAGGGTCCCTTTATGCCCTGGAAGATTATCATTTACAATTTTACAATTTTCTGCACACACAAAATCAAACAATAACAAAACCCACCACCAATAGAAAAATCCCAGCCCAGGTCAACCCAGCTTTATTACTCAGGAGGAGGCTACTATATGTGGTTCGAAGTTCAAAGTCAGCCCAAGTCACATAAGGAGCTCTTGAAGATATGGAACTAAGGGGGGGGGGGGACAGAAGAGGGAGAGAGTGAGGGGAAAGAAGGGATGGAGGGAGAGGGAGGGGAGGAGAATAAGGGAAAGGGAGTGTAAAAGGAGAGGAAAGAGAGAGAGGAACAAAATTTTAAGTCTTATCAAGTCTTAGAACTCTAAGAGGCATCACTAGAAGAGTTTTACTTAAGACAGAAAAGGTGAAATTAATCATCACTCTACTTTTCTCAATCTTAAAGCAATTATATAAAATTTCAGGGTTGGCAAGATGGCTCAGCAGGTAAAAACACTTGAGTCTGAGCCCTGGAACTCAGGACTCTGTGCTGAATGGACAGAACTGACTCCTGCAAACCATTTCCTGATCTCCCTACCCATACACACTCTGGCATGCACACAACTGCCAACACACAATTACTAAAAAATAAAAAAATTAAAAACAATTATATCATTTAAAATCTGTCTTGTCTGAGGAAAAAATATTGAAATTTTATCTATGTTGAACATGAAAGTCTTTTTGTATAGAAGGTTGGGAAGAGCTTTTCTCCAGACCTCTGGCTCTCAGGATCATCAGCTAACTGCTCTGACATCATGAAATGGTAGACACAGCACATTCCTTCCAGGCACTAATGCTCAGAAGACCTATATTGACTTCCACAGCAACAGGAGATTGCTACCACTACAGCAATTTTACGATGTAAAAATGGGACCAGCCCACAATCCATATCATCCATCACCAATAACCTTTTGGTCCTTGACAGGCACACATGTAACTGGTTGGGATAAAGCAACAAGACCACCCAGGATCTTATTCCATCACTTAATAGCTTTTGTGAGCTGATATTTGAGCCTCAACTGCAAAACAGGAAACTCTATATAGAGATGTCTACAGACTGACTCCAAACCAGGCTTCAGGTTGAACCCAACATTAAAGATATTGTGTTTGTTCCAAATTGTCTAATTTTTTACTTAAAAGCTAGGGATTCATCAACAAAGGGGGAGAGTGTCAAAGGTCCATCAACTCTGGGTGTGCAGTTGTTTTTCAGTAATCATTTAATGAGTTTCCTTTAGGGAGGCATATACATATTCACTATAGGTCAGTGGGTGCTACTCTTCCCTCATCTTCAACTCACTTATTTTACCTTGGTATTATCTGGGTTTATAATCCTCCTTAAGGATGTTTTACAATGAGTCAATTGTGCCTGATGAAAACACTTATTGAGGCAGCCATTATCAATAGCTCCTTGTTAACAGGTTTGGTGTTGTTCTTACAATCGTGCAACTTCTTCTTTCACACTCTGCTTCTTGAGCATCTAAGTGTGCCACGGCAGTGTAGTTGCCTATACTGAGAGAACCCCGGGACCATTCCCAACTACAAATGTCCCCATGAACATGAACTGCATGCGTCAGCTAACTCTTGTCTGCTATACAGGCTGACACAGCCTCCCTTCCACACTGGGGAGCCTCTGCCAGGAAGCTGTCTGTAGAACAATCATTGGAAGGGGGAGCAAGTGTTTTTATACTTAAGGCTGACTTACCTATACAACTGTCAGCTTTCTATGAACAGAGCATGCAGTGTCAAATGACTGGAATTCAGATAGCTATGCTAACAGGGGTGGGGGGATGGGGATGGCAGGTGGTAAACAATACAGAAAATGTGGATCCCAGGCAAGTTATTAAGAGGAAGGTAAATGATCAGTGGCGAATTCTGAACTGTCCTTGGGCCTCCTGATAGGCTGGAACCGCGGTATGCATCAGAATTCAGCGGTTCATCCCTTCTACATACCAGGAAAACAATCACTGGCTTGTATTTCTGAGGTCTGTTTTGCCTGGGGTTTTTGTTGTTGGTTTTTGTTTTTAACAAACAGTTTCTATCCCTATACTCACACAGAACCGGAGCATGAAAGTGAAAACTCAGCAATGTCTGTGTTGCTACATGTGGGTCCAAATGCCTGAGATGGCCTGGAGAAAGCTGGTACATGCATACCTCCCCAGAGCACTAAACCCGACCTGCTTGCCTTGGCCCCAGCAAATGACGCAGACCAGCAGTTTACCCAGGTGCCAGAAGCTAGTGGGGAGGCAGCACGGTAGCCAGGGAGACCAAAAGAAGCAGTTGCCAGAGAAATGCATTCATCAGAGTCGGCCTGGAGGCCGCGGCGGGGGATGGGGGGGAGGCCTGAGGCAGGCAGCTCCGGGCTAATCCGGGTCTCGGGTGCTTCCGACTTTTCCCACACGCTCAATTCTGTCTGAGGGCAGAGTACAGTGGGGTACAGCCTGCAAGACGTACAGGGCCACTTCAGACCATGGCACGCACACACGAGGCTGCACAGTACCCTGGAGCCCAGGTGTGCCATGCTTCCTCGTGTTGAGGGCCACTTGCAGAAACAATGGTCTTACAGGGTCCCCTGGAAAGGAAGCTCAATGTCACGAGCGACTGGGCCCACCAAAGACACTTTTCTGGCCTGGGTCCCCTTGCCTCAGGGAGCCGAGGCAGACATGGGCCTTCCCCCGGGTGGCGTCCAGGCCCCAGTGAAGCTGCCTGTCAGCCCTACCCGCCCAGCTCCCCCAAACCTGAGGCCATTGCTGGAGGCCACGCGAACCCATGTACACTCCCACACCCCCAAGTTTGGGCACCTGGCCTTGCCGCCTGAGAAAAGCTGGGAGACACCCACGAGGCCACATGAGTGCGTCTGGCCAGGCCGCAGAGTGAGGAAAGCGGACGCCGCCGAGGAGGACAGCGAGCAGGCTCCACGCCAGCGCCCCCTCGCGGGCTGTCTGGCTCCTCCTCCCGGCCCGCGCCCCCAGACCCGCGAGGTTCCCGGGGCTGGCCCTCGAAGCCGGGCCACACGCACGCACGCACGCACGCACGCGCGACCTCACCTGGCCCGCTCCACCCTCGGGGCTCGGGCTCCGGGCGCAATCGAACGTGTGAAGCCACGTGACTTCCCCGGGCTCGGAAAGCGCGCGGCCAGCACGAGGGGCCCGAGTCCTCGGCTTTAAAGGAGCCGCGGCGGCGGCGCCGTCGTGGCGCGCGTCCCCGAGCGCGGACCCAGGCTGCAGGGGTTCCACCGCCCTCCGCGCCGCCCTCTCCTGCGGGTCCCCGGGGCGACTCTGGAGAGACGTGAGCCGCCAGCGTTGCCGGCCGCCTCGGCTCTCGCTCTCACGTGCGACGGCTGCGGGAAGAGGAAGTGTTGAGGACGCCCGGGCTGCCTGCCGCGCGGCCAGCTCCCGTCTGGACATACGTTCGAGGCCACCGGGAGTCTGCAGGCGCAGCTCCGAGGCCCCAGCGGCCGCCCCCGGAGGGCCGCGGTGCCTTTAAGCCCAAAGGCCTGAGTCACGAGGAAGCTCCCTGCCCCCCCTCGCCCCACACCGCTCCACGAGGCCCGCGACCGTGGCATGTGACCGGCGCCCCGCCCGGGACGCTCGCCCGGGCGGCGGTGGGGGCCTGTGGGGCGGCGAGACAGCGCGCGGACCGTTAGCTGAGGCGGCGGGGACAGCGGCCCCGCCCGGCCCGGCCCGGCCCCGCCCCGCCTGGCGGCTCTTACCAGAGAGAACGCCATGGGGTCCGGCGTGGCCCTGAGGGACCGGAGGGCGGGCGGGCGGGCGGGCCGGCGGGTCTGTGCGGCACGGGACGCGCACACACGTGGGCACTATTTTTGCAGCGAGCGGCGCGCGACTCCGCGCCCCCCGGCGGCTTTTAAAGCTCCGCGGCGCTGGCCTGATGAGGAGCACCTGTGTCGGCCCCGCCCGGCCTCGCCCCCGCCCCGCCCCCGCCTCCTGCGCTCCTTCCAGCCGTCCATCCCCGCGCTCCACCGCCCACCCTGGGCCTGGGGACCCAGGCGGGGGCGAATTCCGAGGCTCAAGCCGCTGCAGACCACCTCTGCCTTTAGGAGCCCGGGGAGCCAGGCCTGAGCGCGGTCCTCACCCAGTGATCCTGGCCAAGTCACTCTCCCGCAGGCCTCAGTTTCCCTTACAAGCCTCTGTGATGCAGCTGCGGTATTGACGTGCTGCCTCCTTAAAAACCATATAACCACGCCCCTCCTCTAGTGACCTCTTGGGTGGAAGACCCATCGCACGAACCCAGCACCCCCACCCCCCACCTGCAGCAGACACGCCCTCACTTCAGACCCACTGCAACTGCATCTCCAGCGAGCTGGACCAGGGAGCGCAGGCGTCAGGGAATTCCGGAAAGTTCCAAAGACAGCAGCGATCCTCTTTGGATTGCAATTCCCTGGGGAAAGCGCTTCCGACGCTCCCGCCAGATATGATAGGGCGCTTACTGAGAAAATTCGGGGCAGGAGATCAGGGTGAGCCTGGCTGCTGTTTAGAAAGGCGTCATGGGCCAGCTGGGGCTGGAGCGGACCGGAAGCCCAAGCGAGCGCAGAGGCGGAGATGGCATTCCGGGCTGGAGACCAGGGAAGGCGGAGAGGGAGGACTGCACTGAGCGGCCCAATGTGACCAGGACCTAGCTAATGCGTGCTGATACCACATGAGGGAAGCCTGAGCCCAGTTTATGAAAAGCTTTTATTCTACAGCTAGCTGGAAACTAGTAAAGAATGGTGAACAGAGCTTGGAAGTTGCTCATCTCTTTCAAGGTGTTGCTGGAGATGTAGAGGTTGGCACTGGAGTGGATAAGAAAGGGACCAGAGTTTATTGAACATTTCTAAGTGTTTTATATGTTATACTATGTATTAAGTACGCATCATACTGAAGGTTTCTCCTGACAGGTAGGAAAGAAGCCTCTGCCAACTGCTGGCAGGTTTGTGAGGCAGGTACTGTAGATTTCTGCCCAGGGTAATAAGAAAGGAAGCCTATGGCCTTAGTCTAGTGTGCTGTTCTGAGGAGAAGATGGGGAAGAGGGCAGATGCTGGAGTTGAAGTACAGAGGGAACTCAGTGACAGTGAGGGCTAGCCAGTCTCCATCTTCGGGCTTTCCTAAGGGTTGCTGAAGTCCTAAGTAGAAAGGATGATGTCTGTAAGGGAACACATACCCCTAGGAGCAGCCCACCCCCAGGCCCCATCATGGGCAGCAAGCAGCATAGGCCTGATACTCCAAACCTTATGTTTCTTGCTTGTCTTCTTTATCTCTTCTGAGAGAATGTGACACTCAAATGTCTACAACATAGGAACTGTAAGTGAGGGTGTGTGAGGTGCTCTGAAGTCCCAAGGCATACCTGCAAGGGCTGGTCAGCCAGCCATGGTGGCTTAGGCCTGTAATCTCAAAACTATCAAGGATGAGGCAGGAGGACTGCCTTGAATTGGAAGGCAGCTAAGAACTACTGTCTGAAGAAAGTCTGCCTCAAAAATTAAATAAGTGTAAGGGATGGGTTATCTGATAAGCATCAATACATCTGAAATATGAATTTTAAATCCAAGGTCACCATGTACCTTAGCGGCTGCCAATTTCTGATCCTTCACACCCTGTCCTCCCTGGCCCCAAAGATAGCAAGATAAAAATCTGAGACTTGAAATGGCACCTAAAGGCCTATGAGAATGAGTGTCTGGGAAAAAAAAATAATATAAGAAAGTAACTTTAAACGTGAATTTCTTACTGAAGCGGTAAGAACAGAGTCTTTCTGGGCACTCAACCATGTTCTAAGGGCTTCACTTGTGTTAACTCATTTGGTAGGTGGAGATGTGCTCAAAGAAGTAACTTGTGGTTGGCTTCAGCTGTTTGGGAGACTGAGGCAGGAGGCTTGCAAATTTAAAGGCAGTCTGTGTGCCCCCACCTGACCTCGACACCTACACCCCAGACTCAAAAATAGAGCTGGGAATATACTTAACAGGAGTGCTTGTGTAGTATGCTCCAGACTCCAGGGTCAATCTGGTGTACCACAAAAGAAGGCAATTAAGTAACTTGTTCAAGGACCTCTTGCCAACAGGAGCAAAACAAGAACTCAAAACTGTAAGATTTTGTGTTTTCATAGTCTGATGAAAATGAAGCTTGTAGCATCTCCAGCCTCCTTTCCCATTTTACATTTGTTATTTATTTGTGTGTATATGGACAGAAGTGGAAGTCAGAAGACAACTTGCAGGAAGGAGTCAGTTCTCTCCTTCCACTGTGTGGGTCATGGGGCTTGAGCTCAGGTCATCAAGTGTAGTGAAAGATGCTTTTACCTTACCTGGCGAGCTGTCTTCCCTGCCCCCACCCCACACACACACCTGTTTTTTGAACAGGCTTTCAATATGTGTGTCTCCCACACTGGCCTTGAACCTCTAATCCTCTTGAGCGCTGTGATGACAAGTGTGCATCACCATGCCCAGGTTGTTCTAGTACCTTTGTGTGTGTGCCTCCATGTGAAGTATCAGAGCTTACTGGTGATGGTAAGGGAAGAAGTAAGGGGTTCAAACTTAGTTATGGCCTCAGCTGAGTTGTTATTCCCAGGATGGGGTTGGGGAGTAAGGGTGCATACTTGGCTATGCCTGCAGATTCTACAGGAAGCACAGTCCTGACTAAAAGGCATCCACTATGTACCACGCTGAGTGTGGGAAATGATAGAGGCAGAGTCAAGTCACCATAGCCAGTCACTGCCAGAAGTGTCAGGGATGAGGAGACAGCAGGAGAATCATCCATTCTTCAGTCAACAAACATCCCTTGAGTCCAACATGCTTGGCACTGTATCTGCAGTTAGTTTTAAGTGTAAGTGATTGGTTGTTTTCAGTTTTAAATTGCATGTAGTAAAGGGGCCGGAGAGACTATGGTTTCTTTACGTGCCACATATAAAAGCACAGGGCACAGTGGAAGGCAGAAAGCTAAAAGAATAAAGGAGGTTACTGGGAGAAAGTGATTTCCTAGTTGCAAGAGATCAGAAGAGGAAAAGATCGTTTTAGAAATCAAGACCAAAAGGGAAGATTGACATGAAGTCTCATTCAAGTTTAAGTTCCATTTTTATTAAAGAAACAATAGGGTTTTGTTGTGTTGTCCGTATGTTTTGATAAAGAGAAAATAGATCAGTGTGGCAGGATACCCAGTGAGTGAAGTACTCATCGAAAGCCTAATGACCTGAGCTCAATTCCCACAACCCTTGTAAAAGTGAAAGGACAGAACCAATGACACAAAGTCATCCTCTGACCTCCACTGCACAGAGTAACACATCTTCTAAAGGGTAGTGGATCAGCCCCACTTTTTAATCATACATAAATGTAAATTTTAAATAGCTAAATGTATAAATGTGAAAAGCTATTCTTGGGATTTTATAGAGGAATATAGGAGACAACTTTATTTTATCTTGGTGTTTTGATTCGTTGAGACATATAGCCCAGGATAGCCTTGAACTGAAATTCTCTTCCTCCCAGGTGCTAGGATTATAAATCTATGTTATTGGCCTGGGAGAGAGCATTTTCATTGCCTCAGCCTGTGGACAAATTCTGTTAATTAAAAATAAGAATAAAATATAAAGGACGACGATAAATTTGACCACACTGGGATTTAAAACTTCATGAAAAATATTTAAAACTAGAAAAGGTAAACTATAGCCGGGTGGTAGTACATGTCTTTAGTCCCAGCACTCAAGCGGGAGGCAGAGACAGGTGGATCTCTGTGAATTGGAGACCAGCCTGGTTTACAAGAAGAGCTAGTTCCAGAACAGCCTCCAAAGCCGCAGAGAAACCCTGTCTTGAACCCCCCCCCCAAAAAAGGTGAACTATAGACTCATATTTTCAATGCATACCAGGATCTTCAAAGAGCTAAGATAGTGTGGATCTAAGAACTTCTGTTCTCCACAACCCAGTCAATTAAAATATTCTGTGAGAAAAATATCTCAAGATCAATAAACATGTGTGCACATGTGTGCTTATGCAGAACATAAATTCACATCTGGTGTCTTACTTCATGACTCCACCCCCCTTTTTAAAATAAAAAAATAGTCTCAGTGAAATTGGAAGAGGCCACTGTTTTGTTTATACTGGCTAACTACTGAGTCCCTGGGATCCTGAGACTGACTTCTATGAGGGTGCTGAGGATTCAAACTCAGATCCTCAAGCCTTTGTATCAAGCACTTTATTTCTTAGAGATTTGCCTCTAACCTCTATCAAAGCTGATTCAGATGTAAAAATCATTCTAAGTTCAGCATTCAAGTCCCACCTCAGACAAACAAGGATAAAAACAGAAATCCTGGAGGTAGAATCCAGGGCCTTCAGGCTCTCCTGAAATAAATCAGCAGCTCCAGCTGCTCTCTGGTGCCACGGTGCCTGGCAAATCCCCAGGGCCAGATGCAGGGCTGTCCCCTGGTACTGCTTTTGTTCTCTTTCCCTAACAGGAGGGCCACACCTATTTCCCCTGGCATACTTCTGAACAGATGGGCACTCAAGTGGCAGGGCTCCAAGATATACAACAAAGATCTAGAGCATCGGTGACTGAGGACCGGAATCTTTGCCTCAACATCTCAAGCTATTTGTGCCCAAAGCTGTTCTCCACAGTGTTCTAGGAGAAAAGTATCCCAAGATAAATAACAA